GTAAAAAGCAGAGCCCAGTTGGAATGAAGCTCAGAGTCTGTTCACTCTGCCTGGTTACAGTACACTGACTATATACAACACAGGAGGTGTCTCATACCTGTTCTATGCTATTAGGTAACATCTCCCATCCTGCACCGCTGCAGTGGAGACTTGAGCCAAACCTGCCCTGGGCTGCTCTGATGGAACCCCTGCTATCTGCTTCCTCTGGTGTTCTAAGGCGTTCATATTTGTCCAAGTGAAGCTGAGATTTGCTAGGGGGAACTTCTGCTGTACTCTGAGGAGTAGGGAAAGGAGGCCAGCTCGGGTTGCTTTGCTCACATTGTTGTATTTTGCCTGGAATCCTTGCAAACCGTGCTCTATCAATACATACCTTTCACATGAATGATGCACTCCTGAGTTGTTTGCCATTGAGACCTGGATGGCTGCATGTTTCCCTTAAGGGCTTACCGGTGATCTGGTCACCCACTTGTTATAGACTGTTTGGTGTTCATGTGAAACTAATGGGGTTCTTTCTTCTAGTGGCACAGGTCCACGTCCTTCTCCTTTGCCTCCCTTCACTCCAGTCTTGGCAGGAAGACCAAAAGGAATGAGTTGTGTGTTCGGAACTCCTCCAGAAAGGGTCCCTCCCAGGCTGGATTGAAACATGTTAGAGCAGGGCTTTGGGGGGGCGAGGGTGGGGTGGAAGCTGGCACGGCTGCAGCTCTCTGGCTTTCATTGCTCTCTGTCCATTCACAGGACAATTAAACTCCAGTGATGTCACTCTGAAACATTCCAGCAGCACTAAATAAGCTTCTCTGCCCGGTGAAAATCTGCTATGGGAGAGCAACTGGAGAAGAGCTAAGCTGTGCGGTAATGGCTAGCATGGGCAGGGGGCCTGGTTAACAAGATCATGCTCTCTTTGACCTACTAACTGAATGGGCAGCTGATGGCAATGCGACAGATCTAATTCTAATCATGACTGTCGCAAAGGTACTGGAGTGTAGAACGGGGGAAGCTTGCTGACTGATCCGAGGAGTGCGGCCTGGTAGGGTGGATAAATGGTTGGCTCACAAACAGGTTGTTGGATTGGGAGGATGTGTCCGGTGGCTCAGGATTCACATACTTGTCTAATGACCTTGAAGGCTAACTCTGTGCCGCCTACGTTTCTGGCCCTCTCCAAGCGGGGCGGTGTAGTAAACATAGATGATCTATTTAAAAATACGGGGAGGGGAGACGCTGAAGTGGCACCCGATTCGGAGCAGGGAGATGAGGTTTGATGGGGAGGAGTGAGCCAGGGAAAGAACAACTCTCAGTGGAGATGTAGAATTAGTCATCCAGAGCTCCACTCCCAAGGAGAATGAGGATGATGGTGGGCAACAAACTGACAGCATCCCACCGCTTCTCTTCTGGAAAGCCCGGATACCGCTGTGAGAAGCTGGCCTCGTTTCATGCTGGGCCCTCCCTGCAGAGGAGACCCTTGCTGGTCCTTCTTTGGCTCTTACCTGTGTTTCTAAACTGGCTCTTGCAGTAACAGCTCTGTGATGAACATGACCTCTAGATTAGCATCTGACAAGCTTTGCGTGCCTCAGACTCATTGAGTCATGCCACACCCTGTGAAGTAGGTACTGTGATAAAGTTCCTCTATCTTGGTGGGTCCTGCGCTTATTGGCGGATTTTCTTGCCTCAGAGATTCACCATGTGGGTTGGGGAACAGCCCAGAGACCTTCCCCTCTGGAAGAACCCACAGTCCAGGTCAATTGGGAGGTTTGGGGGGAACCCGGGCCCGCCCTCTACTCCGGGTTCCAGCCCAGGGCCCTGTGGACTGCAGCTGTCTAGAGTGCCTCCTGTAACAGCTGCATGACAGCTACAACTCCCTGGGCTACTTCCCCATGGCCTCCTCCAAACACCTTCCTTATTCTCACCACAGGACCTTCCTCCTGGTGTCTGATAACGCTTGTGCTCCTCAGTCCTCCAGCAGCACATCCTCTCACTCTCAGCTCCTTGCGCCTCTTGCTCCCAGCTCCTCACACTCGCACCACAAACTGAAGTGAGCTCCTTTTAAAAGCCAGGTGCCCTGATTAGCCTGCCTTAATTGATTCTAGCAGCTTCTTAATTGGCTCCAGGTGTCCTAATTAGCCTGCCTGCCTTAACTGGTTCTAGCAGGTTCCTGATTCCTCTAGTGCAGCCCCTGCTCTGGTCACTCAGGGAACAGAAAACTACTCATCCAGTGACCAGTATATTTGCCCTCTACCAGACTCCTGTACCCCAGTGGTCTGGGTCTGTCACAGTACATGATGATGATGATGATGATGATGTTTGTTGGATCCGTTTTACAGATGGGGAACCAGAGGCAGAGAGAGGTTAAAAGACTGGTCCAAAGTGATTCAGTGGCCAGCTGGGCGCAGGCGTCTTGCTCTAACTACTAGGGGTTACTGCCTTCCATTGCTGACAAGAACAGCATGCAATAGCATGTAAATGGGGTTGCAATTCTCACTAAAACCTAAAAGTGAGAAGCAATGTTGCATGTCCCATCAGACGCCGGGAGGAGGACGCAGAGCAATAGGCGTTAGGAACCCCTCCTGGAGGTCAGCTAAAGCTGGAATGGCTCATGAGGTAGTTATAGCAAACCCATCAGAGATGAGGCAGGTGAGAGAAGATGGCTGTGGATGGTAGTTAGGGGGAGCCTTGACCTACTGAAAGATGCTTTCTCCCTCTCTGGTTTGTAATCTCCAGAGCGACACGGCTTCCGTTGTTTCCCTTAGCAGGTTACATTCCAGTCCAAATAGATCCTGCTGTACCTTTGCCAGGACTCGCAATGGATGCTGGTGGACCACAAGGTTCCTGGCAATCAGCTGAGGCCAGCAGTCCGGAGAGGTCCCCATCCTCTCTAGTGCCCTGGCTATTAACTGATTGCGCTGGGGGTGATCTTAGCATCAGGATCCCCACAGCATCCCTGATGCTCCATGCACTGAGATGCTAATACATTACCAGAAATGCAACAGATGCTGCACCGGGACTGTGCCTGCGGCTCTCCACAAGAGCAGCCTGCGGGTGCAGGAAAAGGAGGGGTGCGTGTGTGTAAAGTTTTATGCCTAGGATCTGGTTCTTTTATATCCTCTCTTAAACTTCCCAGAGCAGCAGAGGTCTGTGTCAGCGAGAGGGAACCCCACGGGCCAAGACCCGAAACTTACCAGAAGAATCCAGGCAATTCAGCTCAATTTGTTTTTTCTTGGGGCTGTTAAGTGTGCCGTGCCCCTTTGATGAACTAGGTAGGGCAGAGCACCCGCCCTGGTTGGAATCTAAGCAGCCAGGAGGCACAGCAGGGCCTGTGGTTATTGCTGTGACAGATTAATATACATAAACATCCTCCTTGAGAAGATTAGGCTAAGCCACCTGGGGTGGGCATTTTCAAAATCAGTCAATGAGTCTTGAAGCTTGCTGCTTACAGGTGGGGATGCTACATCTCACCAGCAGCACAAATGGCTTTGAGTTTCAGGCACCAGATGCCCCCCCTGCTAATCTCAGGTAGCAGCTTCTGTTTCTGCTCAAGAGCTGGGATCGGTAACATCGTCCAGGGTGAAATAACAAGCTCTGCGTGCGGGCTCTGATGGGGTGGCCCCTAGTTGCACAATACTAGATCACGGTAGCAGGAGCAATGGAAGAGCTGGAGGGGGAATTATCTGTTCAGAGGTTGAATTCACAGCTCAGCCGGTGTGTGTGGTGAGATGCATGGGGACATTTGTGTCCTATAACTCCCCAGCCCCAGCACAGTGGGTTCTAGTGGCTCTGAATACAAGAATCAATTAAGTCATGCACAATTTACTCCTGAGGGCATTCTGCGCCAAAAAATTAAAAATTCTGCGCACAATATTTTAAAATTCTGCAAGTTTTATTTGTCAATAAATAAATGCAGAGTCTCCAGCATGGCAGTGGGGAGCACAGGCCACTGGCTGCATGAAAGTGGGAGATCACCCTGCAGCCCCTCCGCCACCCACCCCTGGGACACGGACTCAGCGGTGAGG